ACAGGGGAGAAGCGGACCCCTCGCACCAGGGAGAAGATCGCAAGAGTGCTAGACCCAATACTACGTGTATTGGAGACAAAGACAGAGAAGGACCCTAGTGGGAACACTAGAGACGACCCCCGTAACAAGGGAGAAAGGGACCCCTCGCACCAGGGAGAAGATCGCAAGAGTGCTAGACCCCATACTACGTGTATTCGAGACAAAGACAGAGAAGGACCATAGTGGGAACACTAGAGACGACCCCCGTAACAAGGGAGAAAGGGACCCCTCGCACCAGGGAGAAGATCGCAAGAGTGCTAGACCCCATACTACGTGTATTCGAGACAAAGACAGAGAAGGACCATAGTGGGAACACTAGAGACGACCCCCGTAACAAGGGAGAAAGGGACCCCTCGCACCAGGGAGAAGATCGCAAGAGTGCTCGACACAAGACGTGTATTGGAGACAAAGACCCCTACGGCAAGAGGGACACGGATAGTGACCGGTCGGCAGCCTTGCCACCTCCTTTTGGGAAGCTACTGGCTGAAATGTGGAGAGAACAAAAGGAATGCCTCGCACGTGGCACACGAATTGACGAAAAACAGGAAATCATCCACGAACTTGCGAAGCCTGGTAGCATGCTTCTTCTGAAAACGAACGACGGAAAGTTGGGAGATGTCGCGAGGGCAATCGGCGGCACCTTGGTGTCACCGCCGCTAAACCTGAGCAACCTCGAACAACACTTCGGAACCAAAAAACGCTTCCCAGACTTTTACACATCTCGTAGACATCATAGACAACGGTGTGCCAGCGAAAACACACGACAGCCCGCCAAACCTCGAGATCGCTCTGCGATACGGAAATCACAGTACGATAGACGCCCACATGGAACTGGTGTGGAAGAAGCTGATAGACGACGTCGAACAGAACAGATGCCTCGTATTCAACGTAGCGGACGCATGTTGTTGCATGAAGGGCGTACGCGTCTCACCGCTAGGAGCAGTGGTAGGAAAAAAAATCAGAATCATTGTGGAAAAGAGGGTTTCGTCCTCGACAGAAGTTGGGGAGTTTCAACCTTTATGAAGGTGTTCTCCACATTACCCCCCCTTTTTCGAGGCTTCTTCTTGTTTGCTAGGCAAGAGAAGTCTGCTTGGGGTAACCGGAACCCGACCGGCTGGCGGCGAGTAGAACCACCTTTTTTCCAACAATCTTCTGTGCGTGTTGCGGGTGCGCCACTTCCGCCACGCATTGCCAGAAGTTTCGAGTTCGATAGACAGTGCATCGTTNAGTATACCTGAAGGAGGAGGAAGGGGGGGGGAGGACATTGCTGGACCGAGTTCGGAGGGCTTTGTGGGGGATGCTATATGCCGACGATGCCGGCATTGTGTCGAAGTCCGCCGACGGCCTGGCGAGGATGATGACCATTATCGTGGAGGTGTTCCGGGAGTTCGGGCTGACGGTGTCGGAGAGGAAGACGGAGAC